ATGTTGTGATGATCGGAACAGCAACACACCTGGCCCACGTCCAACAATTGCATCTCCCCTCGATACCTTCTGGTATAAGAGGACAGAAAAAAGTAAGGGCGGTTTTTTTTCCATGTTTGCAACTGTGCGTGTTTGTGTTTGCGCGTGAGAGGTTGCTGAAAAGACCCTTTTATTAACTGGTCTAGTAAGCCTTCCCGCTATGGAAACTGAAATTTTCAATCTTCTTTAGTGCGTTGAAAGTGTCCGTTTTTTTGTCCCATAAACCTCGCAAAATTGATTATTGATCATCAAATTCTAAATCCGAAACTGCTTTGGTTTGATTTCTTTATGTAGGCTAAGTGTTTTTTACACCCCCGGCGAAACAATTTACATAATTTAGGAAAGGGGCTTCAAGTGTCAGCCCTGTGTGGAGTTTTCAAACGTGAGTTTTCATCAGGGAAAAGTGTTGTCAGCTACATCCGGCATGGCAGGCTGGGTTGTTTTTTTTTTTGGTATGGTACGCTGTTTTGGTCAAGAAGCTAAATGAGTGATTTTTAATTAGCTCTCACGCCTAATAAAATACCACCAGTAAATGGATCCCCTTCCCAAACAACTATTTTATACACATACAATTTAATGTGCATAGCCAAATGTCTCTAACATGCAGCGCAGTTAAAATGGATCAACGAAAGGGACTTTAACCAGGATACAACGTCTCAGAGGAAAGATTGACACTCGATACAAATTCGGGGCCGGTTCTGTTAGCTACAGGTTTCATGGTGCGGTCTCGTATATTATTCACCTATCGAACCGAAACTTTCCAACTTTTGCACCTAGGTTTCCCAATATTTGTATCAACAGATCAATATCTTTGTAAACACCTGTACGATGCGTTCTGGAAAATCCGAGCGGTTTTACAGATTTTAAGAGGTTTACATCCCTCTCAGCTCGGGTGGGCCCGCTTCCTGAATGATGTAGATCTATATATTGTCGATGTGGGCGTAAAAACACTGCATGAAAAGAAAAGAATAGATTGACAAAAGAGATTATAGAAGTAGAGATATTTCCGTGTACAATGTAGTTTCCTTTGTATCATCTTCACATAATTGTACAGCATTTTAAAAATAGAACTAGAGAGATATGTTGCTGCAAGTCAGGGGCGGCTCTTGGGGCTACAAAGTGGGTGTGCACAATTAAGCTATCGCAGGCTGAAGATAGCCAAGGGCATAGTAAATGAGACGGTGTCTAACTTTAGGATCTTTGGGTTGATGAGGGAGGACGTAATCGTGCTCCGCTTTGATTTCTAGAACTACATCTGTTTGTTTGCTAAACATCAATTTCGTTCATCCTGCATTGGAACCGAACACTCAAGTAATAACTTTCACCACTCCACTACAAAACAACTTAAAAGCACAACTCATAGGACAATGACCTAAGTATGTCAAGTTCACCTCCCTCAGGTTCACGGTCACAGAGTCACTTAAAATAGTGGCAAGACAATGAACCAATCACAATTCTCTTGAGCACTCCGGTGGATTGCTCCGGGGGGCATTTAATTTTGGGATAGAATAGTGTACTGTCTATCGCGTTCATTTTTAGATTGCCTACCCTGGGCTATGTTTCGGCACTATTCGGCAGGAGCACATTTGAGTTTTGCCGTCTTATTAATATTAAGGAACAGCCAAACTCGCAACGAGTGCCGTCATCGCTTGGGTGATCTCAAAGAGCGATTTATAGGTCAGATCACCACTGTTGACTATCCTATAATGTTTAATTAAAACACGTGGACTTTGACATGGCATAGTAGATGTTTTACTGCGCTATAGACACATAAATGACAGTTACGACGCTAGCGAGGACCTTGTTTTGATATAACATTTGGCTAGTATTTGTTTCTGGTTTCTTTTATTTTAATATTGTGGGTGCTTTATGTAATAGGGCATTGAAAAAAGTTGGGCGGCACTGCACGACCGTGCTCTATGGACGATCCGCACCTGCTGCAAGTTCTGTATTACTCACAATCAGATCAAATGAAAGTTTGATAGCGCTAGTAGAGTAGCTAACGCCGGAAAGCAATAATTTGCAACACAACTAACAAGGTAACGGGAATAAAATACCCGCCACCCACCCACACCCTCACCCACACATGTGAGTAGGTAACGAGAGTAAAAGTAATATCAGTACCAAAAGCTTATACTAACTGGCAAGGCTCCTTCACTTTGTACTTAAAAAACACATTCGTTGGCATTAGAATGAACACACTATAATTAAAAAACGGTTATGATGTTTGCGAAAAAAAAAGAGAAAACACCAACACGAATATTACTACAAAAATTCTTTACTGCTAAATCTGTAGTAGATAGAAACGACTTCAGTTACTTCTAAGGCAGTTTCCCCGTCACAAAACATTATTGTTACACTTCACACTCATACACAGGTAGGTCTATTTCTTGCCCTTAATTTATTTTATTTTTATTTTCATTTCTAACAAGACAAGAAACCTCAGGCTGTTTTATTGTGTCGTATGGGATCAGTAAGCTATTCAAGTAGAGTGCTTTATCTTTCTCTCTGCACACGTTTAATGGTGGTGCCGGCTGGAAGACACAACAGCGTATTGACAACTCGTAACGAGTTCCGTCAGTTGGGTGGTACAACCGAATCGAATTAATTTGCGTCTCTGTAATGAGAAAATCCTGTTGCGTTGCAGGGGAGGCGTCACTTTGGGTCTATTTATGTATAGATTATTAAGAAAAGGTTTTTGACAAGGACAAAGCCTATTTCTGTGATAATATGTGAGAAGTATGAGATCTTTTATTAAATTAAATTATTAAATTGCTGTATCACACATTATGTCACACAAATCATTCCTCTAATCTAGATCTAGATCTAGATCTAGTCACATAATTTTTTAGACCCTGACTTGCAAGTCATGATGATGCTGTTGAATTCTATTTTAGCTGATTGTTGTTAAGCGTCATAAAAGGTTATTTTGGAGATGTTAATCATTCGCGATATCCCAAACCCCGAATTTTTACTTGATTTGCATGACCTGTCCATCTATTTTCCTCTATGGAAAACTTAATAATAAATCCTGCCTAACTTTTAGACAAAGAAAAAAAAAGAATACACCTTCAAGCAGGTAAACTGGGAAATTCAGATAAATGCATTAGGAAAACTTATTGAAATGTCAGTTATTTAAGAGTTTGGAAATTCACCTTCTGTGCAGGGCTGGGTAAAGTGGTGATGAGTAAAGTGTGATATTTTGTATTGGTTTTAAGAAATACTTGCCACCTCTTTTTTGTTGTTGTTGTTGTTTTGGGTTTTTTGGGGGTGGGTGTTACAGCGGTGTCCATTTATTGATAGCAACATAAATATAAGAGCATTAACCTCCTCCTAATAGTCACCTAAGCGTGTGTAACAGAATTTTCCCATATTTTTATCATATATATAACCCCTTATAACTTATAGCAGCTATCTTTTCCTTTAACAATATTGGGCCCTTTTGCTGTCATGAGTGAGTGTCTAGATTATGTTGTCCTCAGCTTTCACTACCCAATTCTCCTCGCTGACCCGCCCACGCTCCCAAACCACCTCTCTGTCTCTGTCCTCGGGTCTTAAAACAGTCTCATGTAAATTCAGTACCTACTGTATCTTTACTGATGAGTTTTAAGAGTAAATTGTTTTCAGAATATTCAATTCAGATAAAGTTACACTAGGCAAAACCTCCTAATTTAATGTCCGTCTGCATCAACACCAAACCCAGTAGTTGGAAAGCCTTGAAAACTCTCTCAAACAACTTAAGTTGAAGTTGAAGGTAGTCTGTTCGTTGATTCTCAACAGTGAATCATCTACACTGTACTGTAGCATGATTCCAATCTGTACTTCCCAGACTGCTTTTGCCCCAGAGTTGTTTTTTAGCGGCAATCTTGGATTTTTGGACTGCAATGGGCACTTCTTTGAGAGGATGAACTGGAAATTGTTATTAATATTAATATTATTTACTTGATAATCTTTATTATTGACCACATATGTGGGAATGGAGTAATGCATTTTGTCATTAATGTGGTATCTACGGAGGTGAAAAAATAATAATTGAGATGTATCAATCAGTTCTCTTCTCTGTGTGATCCTGAAAGCAGCCATGGTGTACCTGGACTACAATGCGACGACACCTCTTGCCCCTGAGGTGATTGAGGCCATCAAAGACTCACTTCATGTTGCCTGGGGAAACCCATCCAGTTCTCATGAAGCAGGTACTTTACTTTTACTTTTACTTCACTTATCCCTCAGTCTTAGATGACCATTGGCGGGGGCACCAAGGATGATTGGGCAACCACTTTTCTCCATCCTCCTCTATTATGAGCCTTTCAAAGGGCTTCACCCAACTTTAAACCTGTCCATTCGCTTATATTGCCTTCCCCTTTCTTTTTCTGTCTGCTTTTCCTTCTCTCCCCTTGTACAGTGCACTGTAGGATTATGAAGCGGGTAGGAGATTTAAAATAGTTGTACTTGTACAAGTAGTTCTTCTCTCTTTTCCAGGAATTAGTACAATTTCTGTTGAAGCACAGCTTAATCGTTCCCAAAAAACTTTGAAAGTAAGTTTTTTATAAGCCCAAATGGGTTTTTTTATACTTCCGTAGAGTTCAAGCTGAACTTAATCAAGATTTTGATCATATTCATTTATTTTTTTTAAAGCCTTAATGGATGTACTTCAGGAGCAGTAGTTTATGTACTGCATCAAGTTCTCACTTATATGAGAGTGTAGTGGGCTGCTACTCTCAATAGTACTTTGTCTCCTCAGCTGCAGAAAACACTGTTATTCTTTAAGACTCTTAAAAAATATATTTTTATTCAGAAGTGTGGGCCTGCAAAAATTTTAGCCAGTGCTTTTGTCTATTTGTGCAGGTGTCAAGGCAAAAAGTGTCATTGTCACGGCTCGGAAACATGTGGCCAGCATGATAGGGGCCAAGCCATCGGGTAAGGTCTTCCATCCCCACCATTTGAGATTTTATTGCATTACTTTGCTAAATATATTTCCCGTATATAATATATATGCATATTGATAGCCTTTTATTTTTGTTGAGCAATTGTGCAAAGCAAGATACTTTCACTTATCATTTTTGTGTATCCGCAAAATTTGTGTTTGGTGGAACTTAAGAAATGAGTGCCTTTTCTTGATGAATTTCAGTTTATTTCCTTTTTTTTAATTATGAAAGTTCTTTTGTGACCAAGTGTTAAAGTGCACCTGTACTTATGCTAATTATTCTTCACATTGGTGTGGAAGAGGGCACATAGTAACAGCTTTAGTTGCATGTGAACCAATGATTACCTTTTCAAAATTATTTCTCTGCTGCATTCTTCAACATTTCCTGAGTTCAGTTGTGTATTTTATTGTGGTAAATAATGTATGCAAGCCTGTTAAGTGATGTTTTTATTGCTCTCTTCTTCAGATATCATTTTCACATCAGGTGGAACCGAGGTAAAGTTCAGTTTGTTAAAGTGGTTTTTGCTGCAGAATAAATAAGGCTTAGACATCCATGTGAACACTTAAAAATGTTCATATTATTTTTCGTGCCAGAAACGATACATAATGTAGGTACACATTTTAAAAGAATGAAACATGTTTTAATTTGCTCTCTGAGCTAAGAAAAATTAATAAGCTTGCCAACAACGTATGTGTTTGGGTGGTGATATGTGGTGTCTCAGAGCACCTTCCCTGAAAGAGTTAAGGCTATGAATACAACACTAAGGAAAAGTGTTAGGCTGACACCTGATGCATTGTTTCTGCATGTGATTTACTCTATATATTGGAGGCAAACAAGGTAAGGGTAGACCCAGAGCAACTTACTTGGAGAGCCTAACTTACTAGATGGGTGACAGGGAAAGATCAGGATAATGTAGCTTTTTTTAAAAGCATTGAAACAAAAGAATAAATGGAAAACCTTGATCGCCAATGTCTGTTGTAGATCTGCCACATGATGACGATACTCTATAATTATAATTAAGGAACTAAGCATAGATTTTTTATTCCTTTGATAGAAGACATTTTGCAGTGAACACAGTCATTGTATTTTAGTTTAACTGTGAAGTGTTAAGTTTTTATATCTGGGCTCTAACACAGTTTTTAGAATATTTTTATAGAAGTCTCTTCATGTTTTGACAGGGAAACAACTGGATTCTCCGCATGGCTTTGCAGTATTTTCACCAAGGAGACAACTCTGAGAACACAAATGGCTGCGGGGATATGAACCCTCAAAACCAGTCAAAGTCAAGACCACGACCTCACTTCATCACGTCCAACGTCGAACACGACTCGGTGAAGTTGGTTCTGGAGCAGTTTGAGGCCCAGGGACTGGCAGGTATTTCTTCTTCTTCCTTCTTCTTCTTCTTCTTCTCCTTCTTCTCTTCCTTTTTCTCCTCCTCCTCCTTCTTCTCCTTCTCCTTCTCCTTCTCCTTCTCCTTCTCCTTCTCCTTCTCCTTCTCTTTCTCCTTCTCCTTCTCCTTCTTCTTCTTCTTCTTCTTCTTCTTCTTCTTCTTCTTCTTCTTCTTCTTCTGCTTCTTCTTCTTTTGGACATCCCAGTCTGTTTTGCAAAGGCTACTGTTCGCCACAAGTCCTCCAGGCCCCCCGTAGAGTTTTGGGTCTCTCTGCCAAGGATGGGGCCAATATTTTGTTCTAAGCACCTCAAGCATAAGCCTTGGGTAGGCTTGCAGCAAATGGTTCCTTTTCTGAACACCAGTTCAGCTCCGTCGCTGCTCTGAATTTCTGATCTTGAACTGGCACGTATTTTGTTTTGTATGAAATGATAAGAAGAATGTGTAGATGCTATAGCAATCAGTTAGTTGTTTCAAAGAAGAAAGACTAAGAAATTGCAGCTTAAGGAGGATAATGAAGAAGAATGACCTACCGGTGACATCCTGTAGCCACAGAACTTACTCCCATAGGCCAGACTTTCTTTGTTTTGGAGAGATATTGACTTCAAATTTTTACTCACAACCCAGTCTGGGCAGTTGCACCATCCATTTAATTTTCTGATAGTTGGCGGGCACTCTTGTGCGGTTTGCTCCTTCTTTCCCATCAAACATCTGTTGTCCTTATCTCTCCTCCTTTTCTTTGTATGTTACTCATTTGTAACATGTCTAATCTTTGGCACTTACATGATCTATTTATGTTGCAAGTGCAGTGAAACACTTACTAAGACCAAACAACATCTAATTTCACTTGTTCGTATGTGTCTTGTCTTTGATACTCATTGTAGATTATTTTATGAGGGGCTGAGATGCGAAACCCGCTACATCCATTTTAGCACTTTTGAAAAAATCTACCTTTTTAAATGCTGCTAATGTACGCACGAACTTGTGTGAAAAGAAGATTTTTTTGGTGGCTTTTATGAAGTATGTGTTGGGTTTTGGCCGAAAACACTTTGTGTATCTTATAGCCGGTAATAGTGCGCATTTAGGATGATTCTTTTGGGAATACAAAAAGGAAGCGGAAAATCTGGCTTCCTTGCAGGAAAGAACAGAAGAACGTTCAACCCGATGTGCACAGGCACAATCAGTGGAAGGACCCTCAGCATTTTGGAGAGAGCAACGGAGCATCAGTGGACATGTCCGGAGTGCAGGGATGTTGCTTCCTGAAACAATGAACAAGGAATGAAGCAAAAAATTTTGATTTCTTCCAAAATGTCGCTTAGCGGGTTTTGCATCTCACCCCCTTCATTTGTTGTTGTACTTTGTAGATGTGACGTTTGTCCCCGTGAGTCAGTCCAGTGGCTGCGTAGCTGTAGAGGACGTCCTGTCTGCCATCCGGCCTACCACAGTCATGGTGACCATCATGCTGGCCAATAATGAGTCCGGAGTTATTCAGGTTAGTAAACAAGTGTCATACATACACACATACATACACGCATGTGTATAAGTTTAAACTATCATCATCATCATCATCATCATCATCATCATCATCATCAAGTGTCAGGTGTGAAACAGACATCCGCAATCATGACTCTCCATTCATTTCACCTCTCGGTTGCTCTTAAAAAAACAACTATATACTATTCTAATGTTTCCCCCTTCATTCATTTGTTAAGGTTTTCCAAAAAAGTCTTTCTGGGTCTACCTCTGCCTATATATATTTTGCTATCACAAATTACAAAGTAGTGTTAAGTAGGTAGATTTTTTAAAAACATTTTTTAACACCTCTCCAATAAGTGTCACATATTTATATATGAATATACATATACACATGTATTATATATATAAATCTATATTTGGCTTTCATGAGTTAAAAAGACACTCAAAAGTAAGGGCAGGCCTACTTTAGTATTGACAAGTGACAAAGAAGACAAATCTGTTTGTCATTATTCGACTCTTTGCATCTTCATAAACTCCCATTTATTTAGCTTTGTGTTTTGTACTGCTCAGCCCGTCCCAGAGATTTGCAGAAGTGTGAAGAAACTGAAAAGGCAGGCAGGAGAGACGAGCAGAATTTTGCTTCACACTGATGCTGCTCAAGCCCTGGGGAAGATTCCTGTAGATGTCCAGGATCTCGGGGTGGATTATTTGACCATCGTAGGACACAAGGTACATAACAGTAAACTAGACCATTTAGTAAGACACGGTAAAGTAAACTTAGATCTTTAAGGCACAAGGTACAGTAAACTTGACCATTTAGTGACAAGTACAGTAAATTTGACTATTAGAATACTAGGTGTGGTAAAGTCAATCATAAAGACACAAGGGAGAGTAAACTAGATCATTTGGTCACAAGATTCAGTTAACAGTTAACTAGACAACTAGGACTCAAGGCATAGTGAACTAGTCTGTTGTAGAACACAAAGTATGCTAAACCAGGAACAGATAAATGCCCTTTTTGGAAAACCACTAATTCACAATAAAAATTCTTAATTGAAAGGAAAAATACATTTAAAATTTAGCGCAGCCTGCAAGTTCCTTTATGTATATTTTTTATGGTGTTTCTTTTACTTTTATCATTTGTTTCAGTTTTATGCTCCGAGAATTGGTGCCATATTCGCCCGTGATCCCAGTGAAGGGACGCCGATCTTCCCTCTGTTGTACGGAGGTGGTCAAGAGAGGAACTTCCGACCTGGGTACTCAGCTATTTTTCTTCTTCTTGTCAGTAAATGCTCAAAGAGTTTTGTGAGAAAACACATTACATCATGAGTGGAGTGCTGTCTTGTACAAACTCATGTTTCTGACTTTTGGGAGTTTTCATCTTGTGGTCTATTTGGTTGTTTTTGGTTGTGGCAGGGGGTGAGGCCTAGCCTATTGTATTGTTTGGCTGAAAGTGTGAGAGTGAGTAAAGTGTGAGTCTCTGTTCAGTTGTATTGTTTGATGTCTGAATTCTCTTGTTGTTACTTGGAACATAAAACAAAGGTTTAACACTACTAACCTTCAGTCTGCATGCTCCTATAACAAGAGTTAGCCAAACCTGTTCCTCTCTGTGTTGTGATCCTTTCCGCAGCTTTGGGGCCCCGATGCGTTGGAATCTCACACTTCACATACAGATGAACCGAGGCTCTAACTAGCCTTTTTCACCACCTATACTCTCAGCAGGCCTCCTCTGCCTTGATACAACTCTCTCCTCTCAAAGTCAAAGTCCCACCAGTAGTAACTCAGACTGCTTTTATAAACTTGCAAACAATACAACTGAACAGAGACTCACACTTTACTCACTCTCACACTTTCAGCCAAACAATACAATAGGCTAGGCCTAACCACCTGCCACAACCAAAAACAACGAAATAGACCACACATCTCAGCTGTCAAAGGTGTTGAGAAATTTTCTCTGTATTACAGTCAGTTCCCATATTCTGTTGAAGTTCAGTTTTGTTTTTGAGCTACCTCCTGTTTTCGCGACCGAAGTTCTGTTCTTTCAAAGTGACTTTCTCAAAACTGGGAAAAATGAAGTTACTGCAAGATAGCACTAAGTTTGCAATATAATGCTAAAAGTGAAAACTGTAGAAAAAGTGTGTGATTTTATTCATGATCTGTGTGCTGTTGAAGAATACAGCACACTTTGTGACAAGATATTTTAAAGCAGAAGAAATTGGAGATATTCCATTTTTCCATAAAGTCCTTCACTTGTGGGTGCGAACTTAGGAAGTGCCATTATTATTCTGAGCCTCTTTTATATTATAATGTCATAAGACAGACAATATTGGGTATTTGGTGATGTAGTAGAATGTTACCCCAATATGTTGATTAGGGCAACCTCAGATCTTGTCCTTCAGGGGTTTTTTGGTTTTTTTTTGTTTGTTTTTTTTTGTTGCTTTTTTAGTTAATAATAAAGTTTTATTGATTTCGGCCAATCAGAGCAATTGTAAAGATAATCAAGAAAAGATAGAATATTTTCTCTGTGTAACTTGATCTGGCCTTCGGTCCATCAGCTTTTTGTCAGTAGACTTTTCCTCTTGATTTTGACAAATTTAGTACAAAATGTGGAATCTATCTTTTGTCTCTTTTTTTTTTTACAACAGGACAGAAAACACACCAATGATTGCAGGACTTGGCAAAGTAAGTAGAAAGACACAAATCATGTTGCACTGACTTAAAAAGGCTTTTCAAACATTGGCAGAATTCTATAGACTTAGTTTACTTCCTGTGCTTCATATGGTAGTAGGGCATCACTTCGTACTTAGTAGAGATGAGAAACTGAATTTTACAAAATAATTCATGTGTTACCAGGATTGAAATAACTGGATGGATGTAGAAGAAAATTAAACGTGGTATTAATGCTACGCCTCCTTCAACAATTTAGTTATTTAAAAGGTGGCTGAAAGGACCAAGTGAAATGGTAGAGTATCTATTTTACCAATATCTCTTGGATCAATAACAACATCAACAACAACTGGATCGATAACAACAACCAACTATATCCGTCTTGCTGCTGGGATCCTGTATCCCTCAAAGCTAGATTGGCTTTAACAGACTGGGTTGGAGTAGTTTGCCTACAAAATTATATAAATTTTGTCGATGGGGGGAGAGAACATTAATTTTTACTATCAATCAAGCAACATAGTTTTTTTTGGTTGGTGAATGAAAACTGAGGATGTGCAAATTTAATACATTGTACTATCTCTCTCTGTTGAAGGGATTTTATTTAAATAAAGAATAGATGCATGACTGGAAAGCTGACTGCTGTAACACAAAACTGAACAGGTATAATTTTTCTAGAAAGTTGTATTCAGGGTTTCTTGAAAGAAAATGTTGATTTGTGACATTTTTTTGACTAACTGTAAAGCTTTTATACGTCAACAAGTACCAATCTGGGTGGCTGGCAGGTGCTCTGGTGTGCGCGCTCCTTTTTTCCTATCAAAATCTATCGTCCTTATCTCTCACCCTTTTCTTCTTTGTATGTTACTATATATAATAACACTTCTAATCTTCAACACTTATACTTCACCACTTGTATGACCTATTTGTGTTGCAAGTGAAATAAAACTCTTACTAAAATAAAACATGTACTTGTTGTAGCTGACACAACATGCATCATATTTCAGGCTGCAGAACTTGTCTGCTTACATCTGGAGGAGTACCAGCAGCACATGAGGAAAGTGAGGGATTACTTGGAGACAAAACTCAAGGCAAGATCTCCATGTGCAGTGGAAACTGCTTAAAAACTGTAGTCTGCCGGACCACCAGATTGTCTTTAATTTAGCCGGGTTGTTTAGTTGAAGAGGTTGCTTGAATAAAAGCGAAAAAAACAGGAATTTTCTTTTCTTTCACTTTACTGCTGTTTTCAGATGAAACGTGTTCAGTTTAAGCCAACTCCACTGTATATCGTGTTTCTTTAATCTCTCATCTATTGTGTCTTGTATTTTATTTCTCTCATTACTCATTACTTTAGCGAGCTACATTCTGCCGTTAAGACTTAATCAAGGTTTTTGCTAATTTTGACACACTGAATTAATTCTCTAGTGCAGTTTCTGTTTATTATTACATTTGGGAAAGCTTACTACTTATCTGGTGCAGGGTGAAGTAAGAGATCCACAAGTTAATGTTTCTTTCTTGCACTGTAATATTCTGAATGTTCAAAAAGACTTGGGATTTTTATTTTTTTAATGACACCTAATCGTTTTCTTGTACAATTATCTGTAGAGATTGTGATTGTGTTTTTATATTTTCAACTGTCACGTATCATCATGGCCATGTTCATCTGTGAAGTAAGCTGACAAAAAGCCTTTTTCTATTCACAACAGTTTTGAGAAATAGAGGTTTTTTTAACAGTGTAACCATTTAAAAATAACGCTCTTCCAAAATTTGAATTCTGATTTATTCAAAGACTAGTCACAGTTTCACTTTGATTTTTTCACGCTAGCAGGGTAACTGATCAGGCTTTCGATTTAGCAAGTTAAACAAATGTTGGCGCAAAAAGGAAAAAATGTGTTTTATCAGCTTTAGGTGGATCTGTTGGTGTCACAGCAGACCTTTATCTCCCCCAGTCTCTGCATTGATGTATGTTATGTTGTAGCTTCTGTTGTTATCTGCAGGAAGTGTTTGGAGACGCAGTGCTCTTCAACGGCCGCTTTGAGCTGAGCGAGAGGCTTCCAAACACGTGCAACGTTTCTTTTACAGGGACTAAGCTCAGAGGTTGGTTAATTAAGGCTGGTTTGTATAATACGGCAGTTCATCTTGTGAAGCCTTCTGGAAATTAGATCTGTTTTCCTAATAAATGATTGAAACATAATATGTATGCCCAGAGAGTGTATTTGCTCATAGGGATATGTGTAGCATAAATGCAGTAGGCCTATATTCTGCACATGATATTATTTCTTTTGTCGTGAATTAAATAAGATTAGAAATAGAAATTATACTTATGCGAGAAATTTTGATCTAAAAATCACCTGTGCCATTTGTAAACCTGGAAATAATTTGTTATATGATACTGACATAATGTTGAATGTGTTGCCTTTTCTTGGATTTTTTATATTTGTGTTGGCTTTGTTTATCTCGTTCTTCATTAGCTCTAGTGAGCTTGAGGAAATAAAGGGAGGCGGGATAGTCCATGTACTGTTAGACAGAAGATGTAAAGAACTATCTTTGATCTTTTAGAAGTTAATTTTTAAATTCCTTTTTCTTGCATTCTTTCTAGGGGTTCTTTTTTCTTCATTCTTTCATCTAGAACTCAGATTGTAAACACCCATTTTTCTCGGGTATCCAAACATATTATCTTGTGACACAGGGTGGTCTGTTTCAAGAACTAGATTCTCATTTTTTAAGTTTCTCTCTGGTTCTAACCTTTCCTTCTTTTGTCCCTCTGTCTTCTCCGTCCACTCTTCCCTTTCTATCTTTATTCAATCAAACTGAGCAAACGAAGGACAGAAAGGTATTTAGACATTCATTAACCCTATCCGTACGTTGTGTTTTACTATCGTATCCATACAACGTGGGGAACTGTGCCCCCACTTTCCCAAGAGGAAGTTCACTCATTAATCCGATCCGTACGCTTTGCATAGCAGTATTAGCAGTCTGTCAAAATGATTTTGTGAGAAATGCTGAAAGTTTCAAAGAGATCTTCGCACTAAAAGTATTCTAAAATGTGAAGAATACAACCCCTGGGGTATAAAATGACCCCAGGCGTACGGATAGGGTTAATTAATTCATTACAATAAACAGACAAGCAGTGTTTGTGACATGATGTTCCTTAGACTTCTTGACATCTCTTTCTACTCTCCATTGTTTCTTCCCCAGGCCATGAGATTTTGTCACGAGCCCCAGGTGTTCTGGCCAGTGTTGGGGCAGCCTGTCATGCTCAGGACAGGTATGTGGGTGGTTGACGGGTGCTCTGGTGTGGTTTGCTCCTTCTTTCCTATCAAACATCTTCTATCATATTTACCTCTCCTTCTTTTCTTTGTATGTTACTCAAAAGTAACGCCTCTAATCTGCGGCATTTATATGACCTAATGGTGTTGCAAGTGCCATAAAACTCTTGCTAAAACTAAAATATACACATAGACCTTAAAGGGGAACACCTTTCTGTATTTTAGTAAAAAGGAAGCCTGAAAGTTGCGATTTGTTTTATATTTTATATTTTAAAAATTTTTAATTCTTCCACTCCAAATGAGGTGCATCATTAGACCAAATAGTGTAACACATTGCAGCCTTCTCCCTTCCTCCATGTTGTTGTTGTTGTTGTTTTCAAATCCCTTTAGCTGCGAGCATTTCGCTCTGCCCCTTCCTTCATAAACTGCCTCTCAACTCTGGGAAAAATTCGGGGGGGGGGGATTCTTAAATGTGGGTGTTTTTACAGCCCATCAACATAATTTAGATCGTTTAGGAGGCAGGCTCCCAACCCTACCTGTCAAGGCCTACCCGGGCTGAGACTGAGAGCGATATAAATATCATCCCAGCAAAAAAAACAAGATGCTCTGTAAAAAATTGTCTCCTATAACCTATTGCGAATTGAACTCTGGTCTGCGTGTGACGTCAAAACACCCAACTGTTACTCACCAGATGCCAGTCGCTTAATTTTTAAGAGCGACAGTCTGTCCTTATCATGTGATCAAAAACGACTCTCAAAAGCAACTCTCTGTTCTTATCTTGTGACAAAAACATGACTCTCAAGAGCGACATTCTCTGTCCCTATAATGTGACCAAACACAATTCTCGAAAGCGATTTTCTGTGTCTTTATCATGTGTGACCAAGACACGACTCTCAAGAACGACATTCTCTTCCTTTATCATGTGACTATGTGACCAAGCCTCGAATTTCTCCTCAGGCCATCCCACATCCTGCTATCCATGGGAGTGGACGAGTCCGTAGCGTGGCGAGCACTGCGCGTGTCTGTCGGACGAGAGACAACGACGAAAGACGTAGACTCGGCAGTGGCAGAGCTCTCAGCGGCACTGACAACTGATGCTTGAGGACGAGTGAGGGAAAATTACATCAAAGAACCATAACCATATCACAGAGTTGTTTTATTTTTTATTTTTATTTTTTTCATGACCTTTATACGCAATACATCAGAGAGAGTTTTAACTTAAGGTATGCCTATTAGAATTTAATTTAATTGTTTGAACTCATGTTACATTCAACTGTGCAATAACCTGTGATAAACCATTAAATTAACAATAACAGAAACAGATATTTATGAAATGATAAGAAACAATTTTAAAATGATTAATGATCTGTGCTTATACACATTGCATAATAGGCCTACTTCCGAAACTTGAATGGTACAATTGACCAAAACTCCATTATGTATTTTTGTAATACGATACCCATATTAATTTATAATAATGTTTATGTTTATTCCTACATGTGCTTCACTTTTGTCATGCCATAAAACTAATAAAAGATTGAAAAAGAATGTGCATGTGTTTGTGTGTCAGCATTTATTGCCAGCGGCCTCATTGATGTTACACAAACTGAAAAACCTTTTATTGAAGAGACTGGTCTACAGGACCTTAACATTAGCATTCATTTGTGTGGAAAACTCAAGGTCCAGATTTCTCCGGTAGATTTTGGTTCCCATCTTTTGTCAAGAAATGTTTCTGTTTTCATTAGGTTTTGTTTTACCCGTAATTAGAGTGATTTTTTTTAGTGAGAGCTCTTTAGTTTTAGTCAGAGTTTTATGGCACTTTCAACACAATAAGGTCATATAAGTTAAGTTTAGTTTTAGTAGAGCAAGAAATGTTTCTGTTTTCATTAGGCTTTGTTTTACACGTAATTAGAGTGATTTTTTTTTGTGAGAGCTCTTTAGTTTTAGTAAGAGTTTTATGGCACTTTCAACACAATAAGGCCATATAAGTTCAGTTTAGTTTTAGTAGAGGATGAGCACCAGAAGATTAGAGGTGTTACAAGAGAGTCACACAAACATAAAAAAGAAGAAGGAGAGTTTTAGTTTTAGTAAAAGTTTTACGGCACTTGCAACACAATAAGGTCATATAAGTGCCGAAGACTAGAGGTGTTACCAGAGAGTAACATACACAAAAAAGGAGGAGAGATCAGGACGACAGATGTTCGATAGGAAAGAAGAAGCAAACCACACCAGAGCACCCGCCAACCACCCACGAAGAAGGAGAGATAAGGACGATAGATGTTTGATAGGAAAGAAGAAGCAAACCACACCACAGCACCCGCCAACCACACACGGTCATAAAAGTGCTGAAGAATAGATTACATGTTACAAGAGAGTAACATACACAAAAATGGAGGAGAGATAAGGACGATAGATGTTTGATCATTGATAGGAAAGAAGGAGCAAACCACACCAGAGCACCCACCAACCACCCACTGAGAGCAATTGCAACACAATTAGGTCATAAAAATTAAGTGCTGAAGGTTAGAGGTTTTACAAGAGAGTAACATACACAAAAAAAGGAGGAGAGATAAGGATGATAGGAAAATAGGCTTTTTTTCCACAGTGCGTCCCCTCCCTAGCTGTCGTTCATACTGACTAATGGACTGAGGAGAGAACCCCTGAAAAATTTCATAGCATGCAGCAACCTGCACTCAAAATTACCAATGCTAGTAAGCATTTGCGGCTTAGTAGGGTGTGAAAACCATCATCAATGATTTATTTATAGAGGCACCAACCATTCATGTCCAGGTGCTGTTTTAGCCAGGGTGTTAAAACTTGTACAAAAACAAGACACTTTGAAATGTTGATGAAATAGTTCAAGTTCAAGTTTACTCCAGTCCTTTTTTAAACTAAATATGTGACGATAGTCAGACACCAAAGGAAAGACAGGAGAAAAATCAAGAGAATGAGAGACGATGAGCTCAATGAATGAATCAAGGAAGACACAGACACAAACACAGAAAATGAACCACACACAGTAAAAAATGACATGAAGTATAAAGTACACGAAGTTAAAAATTGAATGCAATAGAATAAATCAACAGTAACAATAGAAATAGAACAAAATTCCCATTTTTATTATAATAACAATTCCATACTTGATCTGCTGCTACCAGTATTCTGTAAAGGACGCTACTGTAACAAGAGGGAGCACTGCACACCGTAACGATTCATTCATCCAGTTAGTCAAGTCAAAACGAGCAACTACATTAAATATTGTTGAAGTTGAAGCAGACGTGCACAAAGTTCTCTCACAACAGCAACTATCTTCAAGTATTCTCTCTCAGGCTCAAAATGGTTTTTTGAGTTCATTTCCAGTAAATTTGAAGAGAACTATTAAATCAATCAACGTGATATTGGTCATTAGTGGAGAGTGCTGATAAAATGATTTGCTTCTTGGATTTTAGCACGATGGATATATATATAGACACATCAAATTTGAATTTGTGCAATCCATTAGGGTAACGTGATAAAAGACATTTCAAACTTGACGAAAATGACGTCAGTTGAAAATCTACTAGTTTGACCCCAGTGTTGTGTTGCTTTTCTGCCCATATCTCCATTTGCAGATTGCGAGAGCAAACTCATTTTGTCAGCACGCCTCACATTTCATTTATTAGCAAGGGGGAAAAGCAAGACAAACTACAGAGGAAAGAGAAAAGAAGAGGAACCTACCACAAAATGTCGGTGAACTGGACACCCGAATCAACACAATTTAGATCATTTTGGAAGCAGGCTTCCGACCCTTCCTGTCGGGGCTGACCCAACATAAGAGGAATACAGCATCACATCAGAAAGACCAAGAGGCTACTCAATAAAAATCCTCCCCACATGGGAATCAAATGTAAGTCTTCTGCGTATGACAGCGAAGTGCCTAACTGTTACATCACATGCCGGTGGGTATTATTATATTATCCTCTTTTTCGCTGGTTCACTGGCTCTCTGAGTGAAGGCCAATAGCTTAAACTTGGAAGACAAATTGACTCCATTCTTCAAGTTAGCTCATTTCCCACAAGGCACAGAACTAGCAGGCAGGGAGGGCAACACTTGCACTATGTCAGTGATAAAATTTCTTTATTTGAAGTAAATACAAATCTGGTGGAGTCCACTAAAAGTGAAATCTGCTGGACTATCGGATTTTTCTTCGGTTTGGCCATACTCTCAGTTGAGAGAGATTGCTCAAAATACTTAAACAACAAAGAAAAAAATCAGGGGTTCTGTTTTCCATCTGTTTAACATTTATTAAACAAATTTAGTTTAAGCAGGCTCCGCTGTATGTTTTTAGCGTGAGCAGCACAGTATTGCACATCGTCCAGTGATCACAGAAAGGGAAGATGAATAGTCCGCCTTGCTCTCTGCTTGTAGCTTTAGTTTTACAGCACTCGCAACACAAATAGGTCATAAAGTGCAGAGGATTACAATTGTTACTGGGGTGTAACATAGAAAGAAAAAAAAGGGTGAGAGAGAAAAGGATGATGGAATATTTAAAATAGAAAAGAAAGGAGCAAACCACACCAAAGCACCCACCAACTACCCACTTTTTCTCAGTCATTTCCAACACTATCCACCGGTAAAAATCACACACATAAGATTAAACAACACATGTGCCGCACACAGTGATGGTACAACGCATATATATATATGTACGTGTATCAAGTAACCAAAGCAGCTAGATCAGCCCACACAAGCACGAGCCACTGGACACAAGCCAAGCAACGCGTCTTGCCCTAAGCCTCCACCTGGAGTTGTTCTTTAACACACGCTCACCAGTGACACCTGGAGACATCGCCATTTCCTCTGGTCTGTTCACACAGTCTGTACATGTAGAGGATATCGAGGGGTTTGGTTGGGTTTTTTCATGCAGAATTTCTATTTAACGTCAAACATACAGTATGAAATCCACGGTAAATTTGTTCACGATGAAAACGAATTTCCTTCTTGAGTCAAATATAATACATTTTCACTCTTTAAAAATGAGAATTCTTTTTACCCCATCCCTCCACTCTAGCCCCAGGCTGATGGAAAAATATTTGGCACAGCCTAAATGACTAGACTAGACCCGTGTCTGGCTTTATACAACCTTGGCCATAGATGCAGCACCGGTCGATGGTTTCGGAGAACTTCCGGGTCAGATATGAGGCCAGATCCTTACGCGTGTGTGTGGAGCCCCTAATAGATATAGTTGTCAAAATCATATATTATATATACTCACTCTGGCCCTAGGTACAATACAATGATAGGTACATGATGGAATGCTACAAATATAGTTTACTCAGGACGCATTCTCTTCTTTTTTCCTCTGTGTTAGCATAGAGATAATAATGGAATGGTACACATCACACATAAGTTACATGTACATCCATTTATCACTGTTTGAGATTCGCAACTGCCCTGAGAATGAAAACATTTGCTAATAGCTACCACAGCACTGTTGAATACAAACAAGGCAAGTAAAGGAGAACAAGAGATAAACATGGAAAGTAAGTTGGCTCGTAAAGAGAAGATAAATAAATAAAGGAGAAATCCCACTTGTCATTTCAACTCATAGAGGAAAGAGTGGTAGACTGAATGATTGATCATGTCATAGGCAAGAAAGCAAACTACATGGATATATAAATAAGCATAACGTATTAAAATTGAAATTTTGAAACTAAAAGTTGGAAGAAAAGACTTTTGACAAAAAAGGTCAAACCCATAAAGGTCAAGTGAAACTTTGAAACTCGAGATATTAAAAGTAAAGACTTTCTGTACAAAGAGTAAAAACATAAACTGACAGGTAGAACTTTGAAACTCGAGATAAAAGTAAAGACTTTTAACAAAAAGGGTAAAAACCCACTGGTATAGTGAAACTTTGAAACTCAAAACAAAAGTCACGTTTTTCTGTTTAAAGCAAAAACCCACAGGTAAAGGGAACCTCTGAAATTCAAAATAAGAGGAAAGGCTTCTTAAAAAGAGGATAAAACTAAAACCTACTGGGAAAGGGAAACTATGAAAAAGTATACCGGCACACCACTAGTCCATCCATAGTAGGAAGGACATCAGATGATGATCAAAGAGTTAAAAACATGTTAATACATTTTTAGCTTTACGTAATTCAAGCCTATCATAGTATCATACTACAGTAATGTTAGTAGTTAGTATCATTATCATTATAATTCTATGCTGAAGATCATGAAAATTTCCATAGAGGCTCAAAACAATTCAACAAAAGCAAAAATTAATTAAAACTCTGAGCGGTTTGAGTTTGACCACAGAGGGATGGTTAGGATCGGATCACAGCGCTATCAACGCAAAAACGCACTTTCATTCCCATCATCCTCTTTAAAATTGTTCTAATACTGTCATAAACTGAACAATAATTTGAAAACACAGCCAGGAACAACATGGTAAAAGAACAAAAAACATGTTCTGTCACAAGATGGCTTTTCTGCAAGCGACACAAACACTTACAGTAAAACCGGGCATGAGAAGGCATCTCCAAGTCGCAGGTCCGATTAAGCGATTTCGAATATTTCACAGGCCACAGCAGGAGAAAATTTGGTGGAATCAAATAAAACACCCAAGTTCTCAAGAGTGAGGCAAAAACTGAAGCAACAGCATATATGTGTTACTCGTGCACATTTCATAAGACAGCATATTAGATCCATAGCTTCCACCTGGACTGAAATCTATGAATTTTAATTTTCCAGATTGACAGCTTGGTTTTTATTGATTATAAACTCACTGCTGCAGGCTACATTCATCGTTATTACTGGGTCGACTGGCCAGCCAGACTGAAATTGTTCATGGGCCGGGATCACTGTGGTTTGCCCATGTCTGCAGTACAACTATGGTATCAGTAATTACATTGGAATGAATTTGTCCCCTTTCATTACAACATCTCTTCTTTTTCATTGAGGCAAGGACTATTCCAAGCAGATACCTTACAAAAATTGGGAGGGGGGGATTGATCCCCATTTCCTCCCTGAATTCTTTGGTGAAACAATTTTGTTCAACAGGCATCTTTCCTTTCCTGAAATGTAACAACAGTTTTAACAACATTTGGAATATAATAATATTACGAATGAAAAAGATACGACACACGAAATACACAAGAACAGCAGGCTACACAAAGCATAAGCGTTCCCACTTTGTAAAGAGAGAAGCTAATCGACAGGATGACAGTCAGTTAACCCTTCCATGTAAGAAGAATACCACTACAGAAATGCCAACAAATGATTTTACTAAAATCCCGGAACCAGACCTGGGACGAGATAAAGTTTCAGTCCTTTAACCCTCCTTAACCGACAGCCAGCTGTAAGTTTCCTTCCGAAGTACCGCGGCTGATACTGATATAATTTAAGTCGCTTTTTTTGTTCGTTTATCCAGTTTTTCATATCCCCAAACATTTCCGTTCCTCCACAAAAGAGCTTTATTTCATATTTACATTCTACTTTCTGAAAAAGTATAGATTTATGGACTTTGCTTGCCTGGTTCTAAAGCTTGTTCTTCCGCATTTTTCATTATGTAAAGAGAAGCTAACTAAAGACTTTCCTAAAAAGCTTCCATGTTCAACATCAAAAGCTAGCCATCTCCATATTCCAGAATGCTCATTTCATGAACATCAATCTTCAAGAAGTTAATGTCCCAAAAGTAGAGAAAAATTCCTCTGCAGCCATACACAACGATGCTAGATTTGTCATTCCAAATAAATAAATAAATTTTTCTTTAAATAGCAAATACTGTTTCAGTACTGAGCATCAATCTTTCACCAAAGCCTTGCAAATGCACTCTTCAATGCTGGTATAAAAACACAATTTGACACATAAATAAAACAGTGCACATTGACGTTTTAAGAGAACAAAGGTTGCAAAAGTTGTAAGGGTAAATAGGGTTACAAAAATGTTCAATTCTATGATGTTGAAAAAAAAATTCAGGCGGTCAATTCATCAAGCCATTAAAAATACACACATTCTCAGAATTAGTAATGTTCTTAATAACTTTTTTCCAAACAGTCTGTAAATGAGAAAAAACCAAAAGGAAGACAGACAGAATCAAACAGAAACGTTACCATGACAGCCTCTTCAAGTAAGAGCTGAAACTGTAGACCAATCAATAACCTAACAATGCCCTCCGCTCCCCGCCTCAGATAGCGTTAGTTGTGTCACATCATAACAAGGCCTCAAGGTATTCAAGAGAAAAAAAAACAACCAAACAAACAAGCTAAAAGCAAACACTAAAGCCACAGACCAGGCAAAAGAAAGAAAAAAAAAAGATCCACAGGATCAGAATTCAGGAAAAAAGCATAGTCCTTACACAATACATTGGTTAAAATTTGTCTCCCTCTCAAAAAGCAGTTCCTATTGTTAATAAATAGAACATTTTATACGCAATTATAACTGGATTCCCTAAACAGCAGAGTATAGCTAAATATTGTAAATTCACTCAAAATCTATTTCATCTGTTAAAAATAAAGACACATACTAAACAACTCTAGTTCCCACACACAGTTCACAAAAACAGCAAAGTATGGGCTTTGTGATAAAATCATATCCAAGATATGAAAAAATGTAGAAAAGTTTGATACACACTTTGGAAAGAAAACCGAATCAAAGCATGACAAATTTATTAGTTACAGCACATTAAGGGACCAAATATTTCACAACAGTAACATTAATGTTCGAGCTTGAGACCAAAAATTAAAAAAAATAAAACCAAAGTTCAGAGACAATCCATTTTATCACAAAGCCCACCAAATTTTCAATCCTCTCAAAATAAATTCCTGCTACCACTAGTGGACAAGCGCAAACCCTTTGTCCCTACAAAAAGTAGATATATATGTCTCATACATTCACTCAACACAATTTCACCCAGTAAAAGCACACCAGACTACTACAAGACAATTCATGTAAATATCATTTCCGGTAGATAGATAAAATTTGCAAAAGTGAACCTTCACTAATAACATGTAGTAAATCATGACTCATTGCATATCGTCTGTAATGCTCATTAGGGTAACAAATTACAACAACATTACGAGCTCTTCAAACTCCCTCGAGCTCATCTGGGAGATTTTCCCACCAGCTACACGCTACCACACAAGATGCAGACATCTCTACAGGCGAACTTTGGTGGCTCCGTCCGACGGGGGACACACAAAGAACGTGGCTTTGTTCCCTGAAGCGCTGTATTTGGCCTGTGCAGACAAAGGAGAAAGCAAATGGTGGTTCAATTGCTATACAAATATCATTTACAGTGGAGTCTGCTTAACTCTTTAAGCCTTGAGTTTTTTCTACCGTTTCCCGGAGTTTTTTTCTACAGTCACCTAAACCTAGTGTACTTTGTCTCATTATAACCCCAAAAGCTTGCCATTAACTTCTAAACAGCGGAAACAAAGGCTTAGTCATTACTAAGAAACTTGCTTCGGGAATAGTTCTGAAAACAAGCTAAAACTAGCAGTAAATAAAACGAAACAGTTATATCACTAGTACTGGACGCTCCCAGCGTCCGATGGGGTTCAAAGAGTTAAACCAGACATGGTCAATCAGAAAACAGCAGTCAACCAAAAGAAAATATAATCCCTACTTTTTTTTTTCCTTTCCTGTTTGACCAACCTCTCTAAACCGAATATCCGGTTAAACCGAAGACAATCCAACAGTCCTGCAGATTTAGGTTTAATTGGGCTCTACTGCATTATTACCATCAATATTACATTATATTGTTATTCAGGTGGGCTCAGAGTTCTGCAGCATCTCTTAAATCCTTTGAAACCTTCTGAATCACCCCTTCCCCTTTCCATTGAGGGCGAGAACAAAAATAAAGAAAATGCAAGTTCAGTCCAGGTGAGCCTTCAGTGCATACGTGGGTAAAGGAAACACATTCTAAGGTTCATACGGTAAAACTTAAAAGATAGATCTATACTTTTGTGTGCAGCTAAAGCCCCATGAAGGGAACTTATTTTAAAAATGCTTTCTGTTTTTTTGTCAATGCAATTGTTTTTAACCCCCACCCCCCCACCCCCCACCCCTCCCATCGACACCATTTTAATCATTTACAAGTCAGGTTTTGACCCTACCTGTAAGGGTCAACCGGGGATGAGAGGGATACAACATCACAGCAGAAAGACCAAGATGCCCATAAAAATTCTCCCCACTCTGGAATCAAACTGCGGTCTCCAATGTACCATGGTGATGTCCCTAATGCTATGCCAAAGACAACAGTCCCCATAGAATGACAGCAAAATTATCCCACAAAAACATGGGAAAAAAAACCTTCACAAACTCACCCTTTCAAAAAGACACCTGAAACCTGCCCTTCCCCCCTTTCATCTCTCTCTCTCTCCCTGACATGCACGCACACACACACACACACACACACACACACACACACACACACACACACACACACACACACACACACACACACACACACACACACACACACCAGTCAAGAGGCTAACAAACAAAACGAACACAAATTCAGCATTGAAAACCGTTCAATCCATCCAAGTAAGAATAATCAGCTTCAAAACAAACAAAAGGGGTAGAAAAAAGAGTAACAATACTTACCGCCACATGTTCGATAACTTTGTCAACAGCAGAGGCCTTGAGGAGTGTGACGGTGCAGCCACCGAACCCCCCGCCTGTCATGCGAGAGCCAAACACCCCCTCAGACTGGAGCTCCATGGCAAACTCGACTAGCTGATCCAGTTCTTTGCAGGACACTTCGTAGTCGTCCCTGAAGAAAAAACCGCGACACAAAGACTTTGAGAGGACTCAACATTGAAGACTGTTCAAGGGAGGTCCCTTTTTTAATAAAGAGACCTTTTTTTTAAGAAAATAAAGGAGGCAACTGGTTAAGAAAAGAAAAACCCCTCTACTTATTTCCAGTTACCTCCCATTATTTTTGGTTCACGTTTTAAAAAACACAACTGAACACACAGCACAAACAGAACAGGATCATTTTCATTTTACTCAGAACTACTTCCACTTCTGAAGTAGATACAGTGACCTCAGAAATGGCTTGAATATACAAATAACACGAAAAGATTAAATATAATATACATATATAAATAGCTAAAAATCAGAAATATTTCGTATGATATTTTTCAGATCTCAGAAATTCGCTTCAGGTTGGCAATTCTGTAGTAGTATGATCCCAACAAACAAACAAAAAAAGCCAGCGAAAACTCACCGAAGAGAATTATGACTAGCTACCATCAAGTTGCCAAACGTTTTGTAGTCTCCGTTCTCCAAGGCAGTCGCGGCCTCGTCCGTTCTTTTAATTTCCGTAATCACATGGCGGACTCGTCTGAACATCTCCTCGTTCATTTCACTCTTTTTCGCTGCAAAGACACAAAATATCAAGAATTCATGTACAGATGGCCATATTACAATAGCTGAAAAAATGTCATCTACTTCAATAATTAAAATACGTCTTTTTGTCATCGCTTAGTTGCTTTTCACAGCAACATTTTTGTTTTGTTTTAGAAAATATACTAGTCCTACTACGAGGTATCATCAACTGTGATCTTTTAGATAAAACTGGAAACAAAGTGTAGAGAATAGAAGCCACACAACCCTGCTTAGCATACATTTTAATTCCTGAGGAGAATAATTTATACACCGCACTGGTAAAAAAGGGTAAAACTGCCTGTTAGATAATATTAATTGTAAAGCGCACAGAGCTTGCTGTTGAATGGGGAATTTGCCCTATATAAAAGATATCTATTATTGTTTTATTATTATTACCATTATTATTATTAATATTGTTATTAATATGGTGAACTGAGATAAGGCCAGCCAGATTTTCCTACGTGAAGAGCAAATGCTACCACTTTGACAAAGTACGACCAATCCATTCCCTACCTCGAAACATAAACGTGTTTGATATTAAACGTCACAATTAGATTTAATTAAATTCTGTCGAATTATGCCAAAATGGTAGCTTCAGCATGTCTATGCAGAAAAATCTGTCTAGCCCTCACTCAATCAAATAAATCTAATTAGCAGTGTGTACTAATAATAAAGATTGGGAAGCGCACAGAGCTTGCTGTTGAGCAGGAATTTGCACTGTACAAATGCTATTATTCATAATTATTATTATCCTGCATTACATATATCCCAAACACAATCACCCCTCTTACCCTCCAGGTCCGCCTCGGAGGCGTCTCTCAGACTCTCCTTCCCAAACAGCTTGGCTGCCTCCTCGCACTGGCGCCTGCGCGTCGGGTACTCCGAGCCGGTCAGCTCATGCTTCACATTGGAGTTGGTCACCAGGACCACCACGCTCGGGTCAGACATGGGCACCAGACGACCTTCTTGGGACCTGGAGGGACGAAGGGGGGGTGGAAAGACAACCGCAACTCAATGAGTTTTCTTTGTTTGATTATAGTAGAGAAAAGCACATCGACACAACTGACATCTAGTGTGAGGTTTGAGTTTTAGTTTTAATAAGGTTTTACGGCCCTTGCAACTGCATAAGGTCATATGAGCGCCAAGGGGAGGATGACAACAGAGAAGTCCAAACGGGGAATCACGCTTACTCTGCTCACCTCTCTCGCCTCAACAGCACAAAGTCTGCTTCAACAATCAAGGCACCCAGGAAATAGTACTTCACAAGAGAGGGACAAACATACAAGAGAAGTAGAGGAAAAATATCGATAATAAGGATGAGGAAAGAAAAAGCAGCAGTTCCCCCAATTTTGTTTCGGCATAGTATGAGAATGACATTGATAAATTAGCCCATTTACAATTCTACAGTTCATAAGAACATGTTAATATCCCCTCTTCAGGAATGGTCTAAAGACACTTCAGTCAGTAGCACTGCCCTGGTGGGGGAGTTCTGATTTTGAGTAAACAGAAGCACGTTGACACAATAACTGTCAAATAGTGCAAGGAAGGAGCAAGATGAACAGAACAATGGAGGAAAAAAGTAGGACCTACAAGTGACCCCTACAACCATCCACAGCCATCAAGTGCACAGATAAAGGCAGACAAGTAGATGGAAACAACAGAGGGAAAGAAAAGTAGGGCCTACTAGCGACATTCTCCGACCAGTAAAAGGTAAAAAATCAAAACCTCAGGAGATAAGGAGATTCTTATCAGAGACTTTGCAAGTAATACTTAAACCCTTTCCAGCCTTGTCCTGAAGTTGTAAGATCACATGCACCAGACCCCTCCAGATTTGACAGCTAGATTTACAACTCTCCACCCCCCCTCCCCTCCCCCCAACAGACACCGAGGTATGTGTTAAGTATGGAGAAGAGAAAAGAGAAGTACACACTCTTGATGTCTAAAGTAGGGCTATTTATGACTTTGTTTGCCCTCACACTGTTATTTTAAAAAAAATTTATATTCCAAAAAGAAAAGGAAAATCAAAAGTCAGACCTGTCCCCAGCACACTGCCCTAAGCTGACAAAACGCCTTTTTCCTATTCACAGCAGTTTCGAGAAAAAGAGTTTTTTTGCCAGCGTAACCATTGAAAAATATAGTGCTTCCGAAATCTGAATTTGAATTTATTCAAAAACTAATCAGTTTCACTTTGATTTTTTCACACAAATAGAGTAACTGATCAGCGCTTTCGATTTAGCAAATAAAAAATGTTGGCGCCAAAATACGAAAAATAAGTGTTTTGTCAGCTTACAGCAGAACAGTCTCATAGCTGAAGAAAAGAACTATAAATGCAACGCTCATGAACTTACCTACAGTCAATGAGCACGGCATGGCCAGCCTTCCCCTTGACAGAGATAAACTGATCCATGATGCCGCACGGCATGCCAGCAAACTCGTGCTCCGCCTTCTGGCAGCGGAGAATCTTGTCCACCTCCGTGTCATTCTCCCCGGCCCCGCCCATCTGCTCGAGGAACGTGTGTGTGGCCACCTCCAGCGATGCCGAGCTGCTGACTCCGCCCCCCAGGGGCACCGATGTTGTGACCACAGCATCAAAGGAGGGAATGTTTCCTTCAGAAAAAAAAAGAGTAAAAATTTAATAAACAAATTCAATTTCAATGAACACTCACTAAAAGTCGTTTCATTTCATAAGAATAGATGGCGTACCAGATACACACTGGTCAATCGGACATCTCAAAGTTAGAGCACCTGGCCTTTCGAAAAAAAATTTTTGTTTCAGCAAGTAAGAGTTTCACAGTATTTTAATACAAATAGGTCAACTTAGAAGTGCCAAAGATAACAGGTGTTACCAGAGAGCAACATCCAAAGAAAGGAAGCAGAAGAGATTTATTAAAGATAATAGATGTTTGATAGGAAAGAAGGAACAAACCACACCAGAGTACCTTCAAAGGGTATTGGTCTGAGAGGATATATTTCAGGACCGAAGAGACAAATATACTGGAAGGGCAGATCGGTTTAAATATTTCTAATATACCCGTAGAAAATGACACCCACTTATGTACCGTTGTAAATTTCTCATCCACAGACCACAGTAAATAACTACAATTGTATGCACATAGCAAAAGAAGTATGAAAATCCCTCATCTCTTCCAACTGGACTCAACCTTAAATCCACCATTATATATAGTCAGAAACTTGGAAGACAACGAAGATAGTACTGAATAAGGTCCAGACTTTCATCAACAGATGTATGAGGAGTATTTTAAGAATTAAGTGGCAGGATAGAATAAGAAATGAAGAGCTGTGGGAAAGGACAGGACAAAAGGATATAGAAGTAGAAATAGGACTAAGAAAGTGGCGATGGATGGGACACACCTTAAGAAAGCCCAGCGGAAACATCACAAGACAGTCACTGCAGTGGAACCCACAGGGAGCACGAGGCAGGGGTAGGCCACGGGAAACATGGAGGAGATGCGTGGAAAGGGACATGAGAGAAATGAAGCTCATTTGGAACGAGCTTGGAAGGATGGCTCAGGACAGAGATAAATGGAAGGAGCTTGTATGTGGCCTATACCCTGCCAGGGGTGAAAGGCATTGATGATATAGTCAAGTACATCACCAACAGTGCCGAAAACTTGATCAAACCCAACATCATGAAACGATACTGGGTACAAGTTAATGCTATCCTACTGCTGTGCTGTGGTGTAATGTTGCTGTAAACATTTTATGCCCCCATCAACATGATTTACATTGCTCAGGAGGCCATGGCTTAGTTTAGTTTTCGAAAGAGTTTTACTGCACTTGTAGCACAATTAAGTCATATAAGTGCCAAAGATTAAAGGTTATATTAGAGAGTAATATAAAAAGAAAAGAAGGAGCAGGGAAAATGACGATAGAGTGACTTTTGATAGGAAAGAAGGAGCAAACCACATCATAGCATCCGCAAACCACCTAAAAGTCAGGGCCAATGCCAGAGAAGAACTAGACACTCAAGCAAGGAGAGATTGCAATTTTTAGTTTTAGTAAGTGTTTTACTGCACATGCAACACAATCAGCTCATATAAGTGCCGAAGATTAAAGGTGTTACAAGAAAGTTACAAGAAAGTAACAAACACAAAAAAAAGAATGAGGAGAGATAATGATGATAGATGTTTGACAGGAAAGAAGAAGCAAACCACACCAGAGCACCCACCAACCACCCACGATTGCAGGTTTCTCCATTTGTTTGATTTTTTTTTTTAAAGTACATCAACATGATACCTGTTATTCAGTGCCACAAAAGAATTAAGACAGAAACAAAGAAGAGAAAGAAAAGAAGGACCTACCAGTGGCACTCTCCAGACATATTTTATGCCTCTCGTGATTTACATTGCTTGAGAGGCCATTATATAGCTTTACACCCAAGCAGGAACGGAGATACACAAAATATTTTTCTCCACACATGGGATAAGAAACCATAGACACAAAAAATGTTTTTGCAAGCCAAGCTAAAACACAGGCTCAGAGTGAGACCCAGTTCATTCTTCCAACTAACAAAGCATAAAAAGTGAAAAAGAAATTCCTAATACTGTACACTGCATTAGACGATGAAGTATTCTGTTCAGATCAAATACCACAGAATCCCCATTTTTTCAATATATTTCATGTCAGTCTGTGAGCATACTGAGCTAATCATTAACAGCCATGATAATTCACTGTTAAAAAGAAGGGAAAAAAACTTTATCCAAACCCTGCCATGGATTGATACAGAGAACCTCCACAGTTTAAGTTCAGTACTATAAACACTACATCATGCTGACCTCAGAGTTTATTGATAGAGGTATGTATCTAGTTCACAAAAAAAAGGAAAAATAGCCCACCATTTTTTCCCTCTTTCCAAAACGGATAGATCTCAACTTTGTATCTCTAATGAAGCGAGTGCTGTGATATCATCTCTTGATCTAAATGTCTAATCATTTCAAGTATATTACTGGAAGGTTATGAAAAATTTCCATCAAAGTTGTGTCACCCTGAAGTAGATCACCTGACCACACCTTGCACATTAATTACACCAGTTTTTCTTCACTACCCACAAGAGACACAAAAATCAGTGCAATTACTGTCAATGTAACCACCACCCCCCCCCTCCCCTTACACTACTTTCCCCACAAACTTTCACCTGGTCACACATTTTTCCACAGGCTCTTATGCAAACCAATCCAGGGCACTTACAGATAGCTGAACAAACAAAAAGACAAACAAATGTTATCTCCCTGTGGTCACGCAGGTACTCCCAGCTCAAGCTAGATAAGCCTTATCAGAAAGAATCCCACCCACCAGCTAAGAGAATTTTTAAAAAACAGGCCATATCACACGAGTACGTCACCACCTCAACTCTGAACTGATAAGTGAACCCTCAGGCAGCCCGGGTCAAATGCTCAGGTCAAAATAAGGTCACTCTGCGGTAGGCCCCCAAAACTCCTTGTCTATTATCTGGTCAGCCGACTCATACAGCCTTGGACTCAGCTCATTATATCAGTATCAGGCGATTGATTAAATCAAGGTTAAAACCATGCTCTCCAGACTCACGGCCTCAATATGTAACAAAACTATTTCAACCCACAAGTGTATTATAACACCTTTGACTCAGAGGTGAAGGAAAGTTTGCCAGCCAGCAGACAGTTTGGAAATGCAAGTAAAACCCCAACAGATACATAGTACAGTTGTAATTATCCAAGATGTCCACCCATGGCCAGGGAGATGAGTGGTTGTTTAGGCAGGTGGGTGTCTTGGACAGTCATTATAATATATAAAAAAAATAACCCACAAGGGGGGGGGGGGAGTTGTCATTTTACAGTTGTCTGGAACAGGTGGCCGATAGAGAAGGTTCCCCTGTACACAATGAAAGAAATAATAATCCTCATTCATTTTGTTCCTTTGCATTAAAATGCTATTCTTGTCAAACAGACCTTAAAAATAAACGTTAGTAAATCAAGCAATAGGCAATCGGCAACACAAAACAATTTCTATTATTAGATTAGATCTCAGCGGATAGGCCTTTGTCATTTCTTCATTCTGCACTGCCAAATTCCCTTCTTACTTACTGTAGTGAAAAGCTAAGATTACATATCTAACTAGTGATAACAGTAAAGAACATTGCTAAGATAGTAGTTTTGTATTTTCCCTTGTTACACTCTTTTGGTCCTTTTTTAAGGAGAGGAAAAAATTCTGGCAGCATTTTTTACGACCCCCTCCCTATCTCTTTCCGTCTCTTTTGTCCCATCACTTCGGTAATACCAATGGTCCAAAGCTCCTGCACACTTGCTCAACAAGGAATGGCATCATTTTCCCCCAAGGCATAACCCAACAGAAGCGTATCTCTTTGACAAAGCACTCAGTCAAGAAAATTGCACACCATTACAAAAGAAACCCCCCCCCCCCCAGCAATGAGCATGTCTTGAATGCTTGCATCGTAGACAAATCAGTCCATACATACATCAACACTTGTCTTCCTTCATAGACATTAGGACGTAGTGTCAGTCTAAAAGGACCCTAATAACAAGATGTAGCTTAAAAACAAGTGAATCGTGAATAGCAAAGCGGAAGTTCCAATCCTCTAATTGCATTGAATAAGCCGTTTAGAAAAGCAAGAGAACACAAAAAAAGGCAGTGAAAGCATGAAAAAAAAAAGAATTTAAATATATACTTTTACACCGCTGTCCACTTCAAAACCTATTGTGGGTTACTTTTTTTATTGTTTTTAGCTAGCTTGTAATAAATTGTCTTGTTTTAGTTACAGTTTTACGGCACAAGCTGCTAACACAAGTAGGTCATGTGTCAAACATTAGAGGTGTTATAAGAGAGTAACAAATATGCAAAAAAAGAGGAGAGATAAAGACAACAGATTTTTTATCGGAAAGAAGGGGCAAATCACACCATCATAGCACCCACTCAGCATCCACGAAACTGTCTCATGATCAGCAATAGAAAAATAAACACAGTGACATATTTGTAGACTGCAGAAAAAGATTGTCTAAAAATAAACCATAAACTGGAAAGCATGTTCAGAAGCACTCTCAATTAAGATTTTTTTTAAAAAGAGCATTAAGAGTCGCCTGCTTGAGAGCTACTGTGGCTGCTGTAGAATTTTTCCGCAGACTGCACAATAGGGAAAACAATAGCAGTTCTTGAGTTGATAAAGATGATTGTAACACGACTGCAACATTTCTCTAGGAACAGTCAGATACAACAAGGGAAGAACGATAACTATAAAAAAATGTAACAATGGAAACTGTACTATCCAACCACCCACTTATAATTCAGTTGGCATATTGCCACCAAGAAGCAAATGGCTCCGTGCCTTATTTTGTTCACAGCCTGTAAACTAGACAACATAGTCAGCTGAACAAGAATGATATAAAAAAACCCACTTAAACTGGTCGGTTGCAAAAGAAAATAAGTCCTTGACCTTGTTTAGTAAGAGTTTTACAGCACTTGCAACACAAATAGGTCATACAAGTGCTGAAGATTAAAGAGAGTAACAAACATGAAAAAGGAGGCGAGATAATGACGATAAGATACTGGATAGGAAAGAAGGAGCAAATCATACTAGAGCACCCGTCAAACACCCTCTCCCTGATCTTGATACTGTGCACAAATTCACAGACAGGAAAAACCCTGGCTTATAAGCTGTCTAATCTTTCTCTAGCATGCTCCTTGCAAAATAGGAGAAGACCAGGGCATATATTTGTCAAACCGAAACTCACTTTTCCTTCTTCAAAAGAAAACTTCAAAAACACTTCTGCATCCTAGGCGGTTACCTTATTGTTGAGTGGAAAATACAACAGCCTTGTTTTTTTTTCCACTGGTTTGTTTGTGAAAGTAAAGTAGAGAAGTATATTGATAACATTTAATGAAATGGCCATTTAGAGAAGGGAAAAAGTGACAGATAACACAAAAGCGAGGAATGAAAAAAAAAAATCTGTAGCGCACTCCAGCTACCCACTGCAGAACACACATGATACAACTCTAGATGCGTCTCTTCTGAGGCTGTCTGCAAATGAGAATTTACAATGTAAAAATACACTGAAAAGATCTTAAATTCCTACCTGGCATTTGCGCAGCAACTCCTTTCACATAGTTGCACCATTTAGGCTTTCCAGGTTCTAATTTTTTAGAGGGGAATTCTGTGTAAAGCGGGTCATCTGCCGCTGCGAGAGTCTCCACTCGGCACGTGCCTGAAGCCGTCGGACGTCCAACTATCACAGTCACCATGGGCAGAGCCTGAACATACAAAATATCCTTATCAATTAATATTAGCTCAATTTGGACATTGTGTGAATGAACACAGATTCAATAATGAAATGCATTCAAAATTTTTGTGTGCTGAGAAACTAATACACAAATTAGAAAGTACACAACTCAGTGTCAAAAGTTAATAATAATAATAATAGATAATAGATAGCATTTGTATAGCGCATATCCCCGCTCAACAGCAGGCTCTATGCGCTTTACACTATATTATTACCCCAGCAGACCATAGAACACTCCGAAACATTCTCAGCTTCCCAGGAAGCATACAGTGCAAGCAGCTGATTAAGCGCTCAAACACTAACAAACTGACAAGATCTTTCGCTGTCTATAGCCGGGTACCCATTCCCACCTGGGTGAAGTGAGGAAAATTCGTGTAAAGTGCCTTTCCCAAGGACACAACGTCGGGTCCCTGACGGGATTCGAACCCACGACCTTACGGTTGCGAGTCCGAGAGCCTAACCACTACTTAATTACTATTCTTCTTAGTGCTCTCATCCTTCTTGTCATTCTATTTTAAATCTCAAATGTAAAAAAGTAAAAAAAGAAAAGTCTTTCAGCAAAGTCCTCGGACTATTAAATTTACAAAGAGGAGGATCTTAATAACATACACTTTATTTATACCTTTTCACCAACAAAGCTTCTGAACTGTTGTTTTCAGTATATTATCATTTTACCTTCACTCTTGTCAAGCTCAGATCCTGTTCAGCACTTTTTAAAGTCGATTATTATCTATTTCACACTTGTAACCTTCGACTTCTCTAGCGCATTATTTATTTTTAAGACAGAGTGTATGTTTTTATCAAACTAAAAGGCCTTATAAATTTCGAACAATATTTCAGGCGCGGTTTTTTATCTGGGGAAGGGGGGGGGGGCATTTCTTCCTCTATACTCTCCTATAATGCGATGTCTTATTATTTAAGGTTGAGATTTTCCTGAAAATCATTGACAGGTGACAGTTTTAGTGGCTATGATAGCATGTTCAGCAGCTAAAAATGTTTGGCCCCTTAAGGTAGGCTGCATATAGGCCTAGATGATAGCAGGGGGTATACTATACTATAGTATAGTAGTATTATAGTCATATAAATTAATATATATATAGAATCTAATTAATAAATGTACCTGTTTTCTTTAGCCTAACCCCAAAGATAGCTTTATAATGAATAATAATGATAGTGCAAGTTCCCCAAGTCAAGTAGGCCTACCACTAGACAACCCAATCCCTTTCACAAGGCCTGCACTGTGAATGTCAGATAGCCCCCAGTGATGATGCAACGATGTCATCATCACGTCCACACAGCGAACCTCTGCCACCAGTTCACTCAGACCCGGATCAAGTGCGGTACAGGCCCTGTGCTTGTTTGTAGATCTTGCCTGGTCACTGTAGTGCAATAATTGAACTGTCAGTGTCAGGCCATAGTAACTGAAATATTAGCGCTAGGCAGTAGATCTAGATCTAGATTCTAGAGGCAAGACATCGATCTCATTCATTCAGAAAATTTGGGGCATATCATAACAATACTCTGAATGCAACCGGTAGCCTTACAACATTCTATGCGACTAGACTCTAGATCTAGATCTAGATCTAGATCTATCTATATCTAGATCTAGATTCTATCTAGTGCTATCGTGTTTTGAAACACACCCCTACATTAGTAGATCTAATCAACAGACAGTCATCTCTTGGCTAGATTTAAAGACGCTGTTCTTTAACAATTACCATGGGGAAAACAAATCCAGCGTTGTAGTCGGTATGTTCACCGATGAGGTTGACACGTCCCGGGGCTTTTGCGGCAACGCTCGGCTTCTCGCCAAACCTTTTCTCAAAAGCAGCACAAGCATCCTTCACAAGATCTTCTGCACTTCGAATAGTAGTAGACATGATGATGATGAAATCAAGTCGTTGATTTTAATCACAAAAACCGGCACTGTCTGTAGCCTATCTTAACTCGTCGAGGTCAGCGGTGTTAGTGTTACGTTCACCTTTGCACGGCAGGCCAACAGGGAGGAAGGGAACGTTGTACGCCAGGCCCAGCACAACCAGCGAAGGCGGGTGAGTTGAGTTGGTCGGGCTGTGTGGTGTGTGTGTTTGTGTGGCTGTGTGGGACCGGAGACAACAGCAACGATGAGGGTGAGGGAAGGAGGGAGGGAGGTGAGGGAGGCGGGCCTGGCGAGTCAGTAGTATTCGAGTAGGGAATTTCGCGACTACTCGATTCGCTCTCGAATCCACATCGATTGTTACAGAACAAGTTGGCCTTGGCTGCCGAGGCTAAGTCGAGGTTATCTTGCCCTCACAGGTTCAAGGACATTGCTGATCAATCATCCCAGGCCAGACCAGACAGACTGAGGGTAGAAGTAGAAGTACTACAAGCTCAGAGCTGACAAGCACAACAGTCATAGTTTCGGGGTTCTTTCTGATAGGTTTTGTCTTGTTTTCTTGGTAGCCTACCTGAGGAAAATAATACTAACTTAAACTTGAAGAAAGGACGAAACACGAAAAAAGGGGAAAGGGGGGGGGGGGGGGGTAAAATGTTCTTTATTCTTTAACGTAGAAGCGACACTGAGTATCAATGATATTTCGTAGACTGAAACAGAAAGAGTCGATGCGCCTTTACTTTAAACTCTTTATGGGTTTTTTAAGAGTGGCAAGGCCTCCGAATTAAACGTCCATCTCCGACAGGACAGTGCCATGTAGGCAGGGAGCCTAGGAAATTGCTTTAAACAATACAAAGTTAGTAGTAGAATGCGTCTTACAAGGGGGCGACCAAAGTAATTCTCTCCATTGAACAACAGGATACAGACTAAGATAATATCAATAATAATATTGTCTCATGAACTTAAAATAATATATATATTTTTTGCTTA